ACTTTGGCTCGACCAAAAATCGCTTTTAAATGTGCTTTATAAATAAAACTTGATTTGATTTGATTTGATTTGATTTGATCTGAGGCGAGACCTGGAACCGCTGGTACCCCGTCTCTGGATAGACGTTCCACGCCCACAAGCCTTTGCTTAAAAGCACAGGGAAAACAACAACACAGTCACTTGATTTACATTTCGTAGTCGGACATTCAAAGGAAATATTCTGTATTTCTGTCTTGGGAATGTTAACAGCAGGGAGAAGTCTTTCTCCATTGTTCACTTCTCTCCTTTTTCTCTCTCGCACCATACTGAATGTTTGTGTGGTGGTCGGAAACAACCTGAGTTCGTAGCTAGGCAATGATATGCCCGATGATTTGGGTCGGCCTTCAGGGTCCGGGCCCTGAGCGTTCAACCTGTCTGCGCTCTCTTTTATGAGCATCTTACTTTCTCTTACCAAGGAGCGAGAGCCCTCGCCACCTGGTGTTGGGAACGCCTCTGCTTCATCTAGCAGGGTTTCTTTGGCTAGGTAAACCAGACCCAGAACAAGGAGTATGAGGACCCCCTTCACACGCCAGTATCCTGAACCTCCCCACCGACCGGTGGAGGAGACAGACGGCATCGAGAAGCGTGGATCCACTCTGTCCTACCTTGGACTTTTAGGGCTGTTATCATTTAATTACAAAAATAGGATAGGCCCCTCGGATTGCTTTGGGAGCCTTCCTGACACATGCACATGTATTTTGAAGGTTTGTGTCATTTAACATGCAAGAATCATAAACTCATCAGTCCATAGCAGAGCAATGATATTGTAAGTTAAAGGTGAGCTTGTCCCTGTGGATATAACTGCTTCTCAATTATTTTAAATGTTATATTAATTCACCATTTACCGTTTGATAAAATATTAGTTTATCAAAAATACATTTTCTCTTCCATAAAACATAGGTTTGAGAAATAAATTACCCAATATCAAATAAATTACTCAATATAAAATAAATTACTCAATATAATTGACTCTTCCCTCCCTTTTCTTACATATGTTACATATGAAATAATAACTTAGGAGTCTATTTAAGCATGGTATAGTTTATAATCTATTAATCAAGAATATGTGTCCAGCTTACAAAAAACAATTGTGAGAAACATATATTATGCAGGAAATTGATACATTTGTTGAAGAACAAAGCATATCCGATTTGGGAGGAAAAACGTCATCCCCTTAACATCTGAGTTATTACTGATGGCATAGTATGAATGATATTGGGTGTCTGAGGGTGTCATTACTGAGAAATGTCAAACTAAATCAAGACCTTACATTTGAAAACAGGTTTGCATTCCTCCACTTAAGGTGACGTTATCATTGGAAAACAACAAAAGCTAATTGTTTTAATGTAGAATCTATAAATTGAATCGTTAGAGCAGAACAGAATGGTTGTATTGTAGCCTGAGTTTCGTGCAGCCTTTAGTTTTACCAGGTGGAAACATTGTCTATATAATGTGAATACATGTAGAACTAGACTTTAAGAGGCCCCTGACATTAGGCCTATTTTAACAATAGTATAGGGCTTTTACCAGCTCGCCAACTTACAGGCATCCTCTGCATAGCAGTATGAATAGCCTTAAAAAAACAAACCCACTCTGCGGTAACGAGAGTCATGTATCTGAACCAAATGCCCTAAGTGAAGCCGTTAGTCTCATCTGACTGACCCAAGGGTTGGTGCTGGTGTGACAGGGAGGCTTCCAAGTGTTTAAAGCAGATGTCATGCTTTCAGTTCATGGCTCAGTGGGGGGGGAGCAGACTCATGTGAGACAGTATCAACGGCTGTAATGTTCAGTTTGAGGAGTGTCATTCTCTCTGGGAGCAGGAAATGGTGTCCATTCAGACCAGACCATTAATGTCATTGCATGTGCATGTAGAGCAGCCTTTAGCATCTCTGTGACTGCACCCAGCCGGACTTTAGACGGGCAGAACTGGGTGACTTTTAGTGAAGCCGTCCAAGGCCATAGACAAAATGGAACCACGTACTAACAAAAGGGACACAAGGTCATCAATGTCTCTCTTTACCTTTGGCCTAATTGTAAAACAAATCAGTGGAAAAAATGTGGAACACTAATCCATCATCATGTGAAATTTAGAGTTAATTTAAAGAATTACTTATGGGTTGAAGTCAAATTAACATTAACATTAGAACTAAAGTCAGTCAAAATTGGACTTGCACGGATCAGAATCTAATCAATACACCATTTTCCCAGCTCTGTAATGAAAAGGATATCAAGATTAGGTACATTACGGGAGTGTTAAAACACCCAAACATGCATACTTATCTTATTCTTGTAGAGATTAGAGGACAGGTCTAATGTTGTGAACAAAATTCGTATGTACCACATTTAATTTAATAATTAATCTTGAATTACTAATAACTCTAAAGAAGGCAACAATTTACAATTGTAAATTCGTCTTTCTCTCTGCAGACAGTAATGTTCTCTTTGTATGACTGACTAGACTTTCTTGCAACAAATCAAATCCAACAAAGACAGCTGAATGGTTTGATTCTTTATCCACATTTGATAAATATGCAGCAATGTGAAGTTCCATATTCTCACCACTGGAGAGCAGCACCACCATTCCCTCACCTCTCACTGCATGTCTAGAAGGTCTGTCCATGTGCTGAGTTTCTGTGCCAAATGCCTGTCTGTCTGTTCAAACAAACACTCCTATCAAAACAGTTTCAATCTCACCTGACTGACTTTACTGCTGATCTGGCAAATACAACTTTCAACATTTGGATTGGATTTCATTTTGTGTATCTGCACAGCTCCGCCACTGTAATTCTGATATACTGCACATGTTTCAATAAATTGTTATATTCTTATTGTACTTTTGTTTATATCTATTTCTTGTTAACATTTATTTTTATTTTTACAATAGTTTTTAATATAGATGTTATAATAGATAGATATTTGTTCATTTTGTACAACTTCATTGTGGTTCCATACTGTTTAATTGGCATTTTTAGGTTTTGTAAAATTAAACGATATCCTGTATCTCTGCTGTAACAGGTTAAATGTGTGTTTAACAAACCAGCTTTTTCTTATTCATGTGGAAAGATGGACAGTGTACACAAAACGCAGCATGCCATCTTTTTGTCATTAGTATGATTGAAAAAATAACTGTTAGTGTAAAGCACACAGCCAACTAGCAAATGACATTTTCTCATGAATAATGTATGGTTTGCACATACATCCTCACAAAAAATAAAAATACATGGTTAACAAGTTAAATGTTAAAACAGAAGTGTGATCTTTTATAAGATCTGTTGTCCTTTTCAAAAAACACAAATGTCTGTGGTATTTTTTGTGTTGAATAAAATGTCATAACCTTTTTTGGCCTAAAGGATACACCCTCTGGCTCTTGTGATCACAAACCTGGAAAGAAGCCCAGATGACAAAGCAGGAAACCTCCGGCCTACATTAGAATGGAAAGGTCATCCCCACAAATGTGCATTTAATCCAAAAATACCACGTTTGAAATTAAAATTCCATGGAAAAGCAGGGTTGTTTACACCACGAGCATTCATGTGAGTGTTTTGAAGTGAACGCCGTCAACCTTTGGACTGATTGTTGACTTTGAAGACTCACACTTGACTTTGTCTGACGGCTGAATTATTTAAACCACAAACAATGGTCATGTACAGCTGAATGGGGAGGGGGTTGAACTAAAACTGCCACAGTCAAAGGCTTAGATCCCATGGGAACAATGCTCACTACAAATGCAGGTTACACAGTAACAGTTTAGCCTGAACAGTCAATATGATTATAGAGTGTTATGTGTACATGTTACAGGCAATTAATAGAACAGCCTTTATTTTTAATATATCTATACAAGAATTTCAGTTGAAATCATTAATTTATACTCACAGGCTAACTAATCACTATCTTAATTGTATTTTCAAATGTAAGCCACATGCTGAAGTGAACAAAGTAAGAATGATGAGTTTTTATTTGGGGACTAGAGAGTAAAGCTACTAGTGTTCAGGTTTGATATCCGCTGCCATGCCATTTCCGGTTTGGGCGTTTACCTCCAAATTAAAAGCGGCAGAATAACAAGTTTTGAGGGTAACCAATTTTTTCAAAAGACATTTTGGTTTTAAAAATCACATTAGTACAGTCAAACTACGGTGATTTTTTTACTTCCTAAATGTTGTGTGAATGTCAATGTGCTGCTCATAGACTAAAGTTGCTGCTAAACTACTGATCTGCAGCATGGAATGTATGAGTGCAGAGGTATTTTTGTATTATATATTTCATTATTTTAAGAAATATTGGCTTTCCTAGATGAATATACAGTAGCATAGTTTAGTATCATTTAGTTTGTTATAATATAGGCAGTGATGTTAAGTAACGAAGTACAAATATATATATATATATATTTTTAAACTTAGTACTTATACCCCACTACAATTCAGCGGTAAATAGTGTACTATAACTCCACATTTATTTTTAACCTTAAGTTATTTTGCAGACTTGGATTAATTATATGATATGTAATCAAAAATCTTAAATAACTTTAGTCAAACCTGAAGTATGTCCACAAACACATTGCACTATACAAATGAATTATGATTAGCTCCACCTTAACCTGCTGTGTTAAATACATTTTTGCATCAATAATTACAATCAAAACATTTAATATATATCATTCTGATATTGTCCAATCTGTAAACGAGTACTTTAAGTATATCTTGATGCCAAAACTTTTTTAATTTTAAGTAACATTTTGAATGCAAGATTTATACTTGAAACCGAGTATTTCTGCTCTTTGGTAGTTCTACTTTTACTTTAGTAGCCAATCTGAGTACTTCTTCCACCTCTGAGTGTAGATTGTACAACAGATTGTAATGGAATGGTTTGTGTTAAATGTAGCTTTGTGGAAATGACACCTTTATTCTGAAGAATCCGACCGGAACTGTGATTGTTGTCACTGCTTACGGAACACACTGATCAGCCCTCTCTAGTAGAAGCTGTTCATACAGCAGCCTCCGCCGCAACGAATGGAGGCGAACGGGTGAAAGAGATATCACTGAGGAACTGTTTCACTATCAACACATCTTTCCGTCGGATGCGAGGAGGATTTTAAACAGATATTATTTCCGCGGGCAGAAGAAACGCCTCACTGCTTTTTAAAAAGTCGAATTGCTTCCCTTTTCCCCCCGTGAACAGATCGATTGCCTGTCATTTAAAAAAGGGCGTGTGTGCGAGGCAGTCTTCACCATTTAATGTGGGTATATATGGTGTTTTAAATATTTTTTACACCATCTGGGTCTGAAGGACAGAGTCGAAGATGGGATGCACACTGAGCACAGAGGACAAGGCGGCGGTGGAGCGCAGTAAGATGATCGACAGGAATCTGAGGGACGACGGGGAGAAGGCGGCGAGGGAGGTCAAGCTGCTGCTGCTCGGTAAGGGGACTCGGTTCGCCGGACGAACTTCGGCGAAGTGTGTTCGCCTACAGCCGTTATAGAGTGGGGAGCCAGCCCTGTCATTAAAACCACATTAGTGTATGTTCATTCTCTGGTTAATGGTCAGTTTTAGGTGGTGTCAATTAGAAAACGTTACGAAGTTTTAATTCCGCATCGGTAGAATAACGTCGTCCCCTCCTTGTTAGCTTTAGTTTACCGTCAACTCTGGTCATTAAACGCAACATAACGTTATTTCCTAGTAGTTAAACGACACTATCCAACATATCCAAAACATAACGTCAATTCGTGTTTAAATTCGTTTTTTATCACATTTTTAGTCACAATTTTCATTTTTGTTAAAACTATGTCCATTCAGCAGCCTATGAAGAGCATTTGTGTTGACTAAATCCTTACAACAATGGCACATTTCCTCTCGTCTAGTCCATTACAATGCAGTGAAATATGCTCGTGGCTTATTAGGGGCCCAGGCCTGACTGAATGTAGGCTAACTAAAAACTTTGTTGGGTCCAGTCAGTTTAGGGCAGGCTGTTTAGAGACCCCATCCCTGGTTTTAAATTAAAAGTTTAGCCTAATAAGGGACTGAAGGGTTTCCCCCATCTCCTGTAGTGTTATCTACAGTTTCCTGTGTTTAATTTCTTATTGCCTCCCTTGTCTTTAACCCATCTCAAGTTCAAGAACAAGATACATGTAAAGATATCCGAAAAGGGCAAATATCTTGCGCAACAAATCCAGGAAATTACAATAATGAAAGGTAATTTAGTTTGAAGCCTCATGAACATGACAATACAATAGCAGCCATTGAAACATAAATGCCATTGATCATCTTAAATAAGTAAGCAGTTGTATGACATGACATGCTGATGTAGATATAATGGCCTAAGACCCTTTCATTACTCTCTGCAGTAGCCAATTTTGACTCCAAAGCATTTTCACATTCGCTCTATGTTGGTGTCTAAGAATCCACTATGATTATGGTAAATCGATATACCTGCTTAAAAATCTACCACAAGAATGTTTTATGAATGGCACAGTAGGCTTTTATGTTTGTAATGTCTTGCATTCATTACATGTGTTTGTCACGTCAAAGCTTCTTCTTACAACCCTGTATGCACAATTACGTGAATTGCTTTCATTTAGAAGCCAGCCTTGTGTACATTAACGGCATTACTATGGAGAAACACTGTTATCCTTGTAAATAGAGACTGTAGGTGAAAAACTTTTCCATCAACCCCTCAGGTGGCTAGCGTTGGGAAATGTTGACATGCACACACACATGGTATGTGGGTAACCAGGACAAGAAATCTGAAACTAATACCAATATCAGGCAAACGGCTGACAGAACACACAAAATAAGAGCTTTTGTGGACAGATTTGTGAACAAAAACAAGATAAAATGTCCTTGTTTTTTTCCTATAATTTAGCAACTCCTTTCTACCATTGGTTTTTCATTACATTTAATTAAAGGGACGTTTTCTTTAGATTGTTTGGGATATGTAAAACATTTAGTGGGTTGTTGGTATCATTTAGTTTGAACAAGAATGCACATACTTTCTCACTAAAGGTAGACCACATTCCTCAGGTGCCAGATGAGACTTGCCGATTAAACTGAGCAAGTTTGGTCAAGTTTCTGCTCTGCTGCTGTAGGGTGGAATACGAGTTTTCATCAGCCTTAGCTCTGACACACACCATACAATGTTAGTTTAACCACTCTGTTTTTGGTTTATCAGCCTTTGTGACAGTTGTGTGCCAGGTCGTGTGGCCCCCACGCGTGGCGGACTTGGCACCGTTTGTGTTTTTATCCATTCAGCATGGCAGCCTCTTCAGGTTACTGCCATTGACAGACTGTGACACCAGTAGAAAGAAAGAGGGGCTGTAAGATGAGAACACTGCTAAAGCATTAAAAATGAAAAGGCTCTGCTGCAGAGAGACAGGGTGGCTCGAATCAGGAGTTTAAGTTGTTTATCTTGCGGGTAAACAGTCACTGAAAATATTCAGTTTTGAAGTTGTTGATTCGTAAGCATTTCTGGAGTAGACTTTTCTCTAAACACACCCAGTCAACATCGATAAAAAGTCAGCAAAAACTTGTGGCTTGGTAGTAAAAGGCTGTAAGCATTGTGGAGTTGTGTTGTATCCAATATGACGACACACTGAGGATCCATTTCCTGTATCTGTGTCATATGGGTTTTGCCACTGCCACGGCCCTTTTAGAAAACTAACTGAAAGGCTGAGGTCCATTAACCTTAATGGGAGAAGTGCGCATTAACACAGACTGTTTTGCTCCACAGTAAGGCTGGGCATTCTAATGATATATAATTATATATTATATAGATGGTGTATTTTTCAGATTTTGAAGGCCGAATTACAGTGAATGATGAATGATCCCAGGCAGTCCTTATTTTCCCAATAGTGATTTTTGCTCAACAAATAACTCATTGTGTAAATATTTTGTGGAAGCACCACTGATCAACTCACGAATATCGTTGCAATATTGGCTGGTCAAAAATATGGCATTATTAGATTTCTTTGGAATGACACTTCAAGAGAAAATTAACTTTGCTTGAGAGTGATTTTTCTTCCAACAAACTCTCGCGAGGTCTGGCTACACCAAACGTTAACGTTACTCAAACTGTGTCAAAATGTGAAGTTATGTCAACTAACAATTTCAAACTTCCTACAGTAGGTTACACATTTTTTTCATATATGCTAAATATGTTGATGTGTTAACATCTAATATAAGCGCAATCAAATCTGAATATGCACTATGGCCAATTTGAGACAGGAAGTTTATCCCATTAATACCATTGGGGCTGCTTGCAATATGTATTTTTTTGTCAAGCTTTTATTGTATGCTAAAGTCTTTGTATGAAATGGAAGTTACGACTTATAAATGAGTTGAAGTTTGTGTGTATACATCAAACATTTGGTGCTTTGGTGAGTGACAGGTTTATGTGTTTACCACCTGGTTCTCAGCGCTAAATGTTAATCACAGGCTTATGTGTGCTCCCTGTCACTGGCATAAAATCGTTAAGCTGACGTAAAAAAAACCTCCAATTTACATGAAAATGATTTGAATCTTTGAGTCTTTGTACACACTGTCAAATCCAAACTACCAGGCAGGCTCAGGTGTCCTTTAGAGAGGAGGGTGGACATCTTTTCTCCCCTGAAAACTGAACATATTTCTCATTTAGCTCTTATTTGGCTCTCATTTGATTCCCATAATCTCCAGGACCCAATTATCCTACTATTCATATCTACGTGCTAAAATAGATTACAATCTCCTCAGCCTAATTACTCTTTCTATTGCTGTCGCGCAACTGTGGGAAGATTTGTATTAATAATCCTCAGCCTTTCTCCACCATTGGTCATTGTGCCCTCTCTAATGTTTGCCATGTTTTAATGATGTAACCAGACATGTAGTGCAGCATGGATGTGCTTTTGTTATCTTAAGAATGCGGGGTAATCAAATGAAGTTGTCCGCATTCCAACATCTCTTTGTCCGCATCATTAGACATCTCCTCGAACAGTTTGGTCCATCCCAGTGTGTGGGAAACAATCTTTCAGCCATCGATCTGCTTGTTGGCAGTTCGATCCCTCTGGTCGTTTACCCTGGTGGTTAGCGCAAAGCATGGAGGCTCCTGGAATCTTTCATGAATGACTCATATTTAAATCCCCTCAGAGGGAGAGGAATTGGATATTAAGCGAGAGGAACAATCAATCATATTGGGAAAAAGGACTGAATGTAAAGGAGGAAGATGGATTTTTATGAGGGAATAAGAGTGGAAAACACAGAGAAGGGAGGGGGGGCTGGATGGTGTTTGGCTGCTAATGTGGCATCACTAATGTGGTTTGCACATTGTGCCAAGCCCTCTAGAAGCCCTTGCATTGCTCACTAAAGAGGACATGTTGGGGTGGCTGCATGGCCCTTATAAACCCCCTGACCCACACAAACGTATCTTCATGCCGTTGATCTGGAGCCTGAAAAAGAGTCTTTTGCTATCTTTACTTTGGTTTGCATGCAAGCCCACTTTGCTGATTCTCCAAGAGAATTAGCAGACACATTTGGTTAATCTGTAAATGGAGAAGGCCCAGGCATGGTAGCCATTTTAATCACATTCATCTCCATAATGCTATTGTTTTCAAAGCCTCATCCATGCTGCCTCACGAAGATCAACCAGAGGAAGTTCCAAGAGAAAAGATGGTGTTTGTGGTTGGGGGGGGGATAGAAACGGCTCTGTTCTTTGTGGAAGAAGAGAAAAAACGCTCCAGTTTTACTTGTTGGGTTGGATTTTCCTAAAATAGTTTGAACAGAAACCAGCTGCTCCAGTGGTTTGGAGTCTGGAGCAGTTTTGGGGTGGGTGTATCAAAGCTGTGGGTGTGTAACATGACTCTGCATGAGGACTTATAGGTCAGGCTTGTGGTGCCATGTAACCCTTGATGGTCCATGTGTGAGGCAAAATCAGGAAGACTATGTGTTCTGTATCCCCTTTTGACCTAAAAACTTTAACAAGATCCACACCCTAATGATATCACTGGTGTAGAAGGACCAGAGCCAAGTCACTTGCATAAGCGCTCCCATCTCATTGATTATGATAAAGACTGAGACACCAAATCTATGGTTTTCATCCAATTTTAACCATTGGAATGCTTAGAATTAGTAGGCAGGCTTATTACCATTTCAGTTGTGCGGCTGATGCTTTCATTTTCTGTACACTGGTGTTTCGTATCGTCATTACTATGATCTAAAGTGGAGAAATATGGCAGAATGTACAGCTACATATTCACGATTACAGTAGGTTCACACTATGATTCACTTGACGTCATTGTCTTAATCCCTGTGGGAAAAAGTTAATCACAACATCGAAGGATTTCTCAACCAATGTGACTCACCTTTCCTCATGAAGCATCAGTTCTCAGAAATGTCATCAAAAGTCAGCTGAACATTCTTGATTATCTAGTTTTATGTTCTTGTATTCAAGGGGATTTCCTCCATGAAAAGGATTTGTTTATCGTCACAACTATTTTCTGATTAATTTGGTTAAAGCTCTAACCAAAGATATTTTTTATTAAATGTTTGGTCTACAAACTGTAAAAGAATCCACGGTGAGGTCTTCTTCTAATGTAATGTTTGGTCCAACTTACATTTAAAAACCCTCACATTTGAGTGTCTAAAATCAGGAGTTATTTTGAATTCTTACTAAATAAATTAGATAAGAGGCCTTTGTTTTTGCTGCTTATAACATATTTTTTTATCAAACAAAGCCATAAGAAAAGCATCAGTAACCTAACCTTTAAGAAGTTACACAACTGAGGTTAGCTAAAATCTTCTTTATAAGGATGCTTCTTTGAACTGTGGGCTCGCCCCAAGTGGATGTTCATGCATCCCACATTGAGGGGAGCTGTGTCGGTATGTGAAGTCTCGGTGGCATGGTGCAAATGGCTCTTTGCCTGGCCAAGGGGGGGCAACCTTGCCAACTCGCAGGCCAGTCGTGTCTCTCACACAGATTCACACACCCAGTGTCGGGCCTCAGAGTACAGAGAGCTGCCGCGGTGCCGTCAAGCCTCCCCAGGGCTCTCCGGCACCCGAGTGGTAACACGTAATTAAATTGTGTCCTCAGGTGAATCCCATCTAATTATCGTGGAGGTGAGGTGCCAGCACTGTTCCATCAGCATGCAGTCCTGCTGAGGGAAAGTTTGTAGGAATGCAAACTGATGGTGTGCCCGCTGCAGCAGGATGCATTAAAATATGTTATAAATAACTCTGAGGACTGTTACTTACAGTGAAGCAGGCTGATTTACTAATGGCTTGTCGAAAAAGTGTCTCATTTAGATGTTTATGCAACATGAAAAGTGGAACTAGATTTTGCCGATGAATTATTATGCAAGAGCAGATCATCTAGTCTCTGCTGACTGTATCACGAGGTAATGCTGTAGACCTAATGGTATGATTCGACTTCCTCTTATTCTGTTTCTAGAGCTGAGAGGGGAAGCTGGGGGTGTTTACTTGAATTGCCACTCAAGTGGTTTGAAACATCTTCCCTCATGGCCAGATGCCTTCAGTGTAACCTCCCTATAAGTACACGCTGCTGTAATATGAGGACATCGTATTAGTAGATGTAATGTAGTTTCTGGTAATACCCTATACAGTAGATGCTGATGAATGTGGTTTCATCACAGATAGAAAAATATTCCAATACAAGGGCCACTTCCAAGTGACCGGTTACAGTAGAGGAAACTAAGCCACATATACATAATATATAATGTTCCCATGTCACACACACACGCTCACAACCACAAAGCCTCCTCAGGTGACTGCGGCCTCACACTGGAGATGTCCTGGATGTAATGAGAGCAGTTGCCATGGCGCCAGTGGCGTAACTATCGACGGCCAGAGGCCCATGCAAAAAATAAATATATTTTTTTATATATATCTTTTTTTAAAACATTTTTTTGCCCCAATGGCATTGACCGGTTCACGCAATCTTCAAAGTAACCAAGCAACCTAAATTAATTTGTAATTTATCTGTCCAATCACCTTGCTCCCTTTCATGTCATGTGATACCTTGCGTGACGAGCGAACCGTTTATCAACCTGTACTGTAGCTAGCAGCAGCAAGTTCGGCAGCATTATAAAAAATGTAATAGCTTGCATTTATAATGTACAGCAAACCAAAGCACAAGCGCAGCGCTCAAAAGAGAAAAGACAAGAGAGAGTGTATGTCCGTGCGTGTGTGAGCGCATCAGCGTGCGCTTATGTGCTCCCACCACTCTCCATCCCAGTGTTGTATCATTCATCGGTCAACTACAACAATGTCATTCAGTTTTGGCCCCGAGTGCCCCCACATGCTGAGCTGACAGCATGTTTATTCACAACTCCATAATAATCTCTCATCTTTAGTTGTGCGTGAGCCAAGAGCCTTGATGATGTGATTATTTTGCTGATAAAATTCCAAACACACCTACAGTAACGCCAAACTAGAGCGAGCTTTATCACAAAGCGAGACTTCTGACTGAGCTTGTTGCCATCAAACAAATGAGTAAATCTGCCTGGAGGAAGGGACAAACTCAATCACCGGGGACATACACAGACTTTGGGTTACACACACACACACTCTCTATATGTCATTTGATTTACGTGGTAAAGCTCAGGTTTCATAATAATGGTTCCTTATCATGCCATTTGGCCACATTAGATCATCATAACATGCAGTATAGGAAGTGAGCTGGGTGACATGGGTTAAAATGGATATGACTCAGGCAGCAATGACCTCTTGAGATATTTACACTCTAATAAATGTATTTTTCTTCTTTTCTAGGCGCTGGCGAATCAGGGAAAAGTACAATTGTCAAGCAGATGAAGTAAGTTCATTTTGCTGCTGTTGCATCTCATCATTCTGCACACTGAACAATCAAAACAACCCTTTTTTTTTCTCCAGCGTATATCAACAATGACTTATTTTCCCATCAGATATGCATAATGGCACAGTATTCGTTTTGCTCAATACAAACAGTGTCAAACAGCAATCATGCTTTTATAGCGTCTCTGAGTATTATTTATGGTCTGAGAATCCCATCGAAAACAGCTACCATATATAATTGATCATGACGACAACCCAGCAGAATACATTAGGACTAACTCCATACATCATCCACATACTGCGCGCGTCCTACATGAATTACATTTTACACAAGCACGCTCATGGTAACGCTCATAAATCAGCAGACATACAGAGATGCAGATTTTAAGCAGCTGCTCAGTTCTATATTTCTATTGGTTCTTTACCTGTTGAAGATGTATAGAAATTGTATTATACTTACAATAAAAATAATAATACATAAATCCACTGTAATACCAGTGTGCTCGGAGATATCCGTTTTACCATATCTGTCGGATTTAAGGAAATTATCTTAAACAAACATTTGGTTAATTTACCAACCCTGCGTATTTTGGCTGAAAAATGTTGTAAAAGATATTGAAAAGTCCAAATAACAGGCAGATGAATGAATAGGGAGGGATGAAACCCTCTTTAATGGTCACACATGCAGAGCACACAGCACACACAGTGAAATTTGGCCTCTGCTTTTAACCCATCCTAGTACAAGGAGTCTAGTACTAGGAGCAGTGGGCAGCTATTGTACAGCGCCCGGGGAGCAATGGGAGTGGGGGGGGAAGGGGGGTGTCCGGTGCCTTGCTCAAGGGCACCACGGCAGGGCAGGAGGTGAACTGGGACCTCTCCAAGTAGAAGTCCACACTCCATATTTAGGTCTGGTCGGGGACTTGAACCAGCGACCCTACGGCTCACAGTCCAAGCCCCTACTGACTGAGCCACTGCCGGACATTAACCGATTAACCAATATTGAAAATAATAGTTTTTTGTAACCCTAACAACACATTCAGCTTTTGTGGTAAAAGCCTGAGAGCTTGCCCCTTTTCTTTTGAGTTAAACAATAAATTCAATAAATACCTTAAAAGAGAATAAATTGAAAGTTTATATTTTGTACTCTTCTATCCAGAGTAAATTACATGCAACTGTAGAAAATGCTTCTTTCCCCTGACTAACCATGATTCAAGTAGCCAGGAATGAGAAGCTTAAATATCAGGACCAATGTGGCCTGATTATATTTCACCACATATAACCATTGGACATATGTCAGAGAAAAAGGATATTGAATGAAAGTGGAGGATGAAAATAAGTGATTTTTGAGAAAGCTGAAAAGTAGAACACATTATTCACCGAACATATTTCTTCATGAGTGTTTTCTATCTATCGTGGTAGCATTTGGAAAAATGTGGTTATGTTTTGACCGTCTTTTCCTCCTTTTTCTTTCAGGATCATCCACGAGGCAGGCTACTCAGAAGAGGAATGTAAGCAGTACAAGGCTGTGGTCTACAGCAACACCATCCAGTCCATCATCGCCATCATCAGAGCCATGGGGCGCCTCAAGATCGACTTTGGCGATGCCGCGAGAGCTGTGAGTGACAGAGAGAGGGTCATCTGGTAGAGTAGAAACCTGAAGGGAGTCGGGGGTGTTGGAAACAAGCTAGTACATTGAGTAAACTGTCAGCAAATACTCCTGGGAAAGTAAGACACTGCCATCACCTCCCACCCCTACCATGGAAACCCATAGAGATACAACTTTAATCAAAGAAGCACATTGATTCCATGTAAAACAAAAAAAAGAAGCAAAATAACACCAGTAAACAATAATAATAAATATAAATTAAATTAAATAACAAGCAAAGACAGATAAGTGAATAAAAGCTTATATAAGTGGGTGAAAAAAAAAAGAAGGAAATAAAATATTAAAAGGTTTTGAAAATAAATAAAAATGTTCCGCTATTCGGTTGGGAGTGTTTTGAGGTTATTGAAATCAAGCACTGCCATTTATTATAAAAACGGTCTGCAGAGCACCTCACGCAGCGTCCACATGGCGGCGTGCGTTGAAGCTTGCCGGCGGGCGTGTCTGAAGCTCGACCAACAACCAATCACATTGTTTGTTTGTTTGTAGCCTTTATTTAACCAGGTTAAAAAATCACATTGAAATCAACGATCTCTTTTTCAAGGGAGACCTGCGGTACATTGGTTACACATAAAAACAACAGAAAACAAAAAGGACATCACAACATAATTACAGGGGTATAAATTAGCAACCTATTCACAGTGACCGGTATCCAATAACATTTCATCCAGCCGTGCTTTAAAATGATGCAAGGGAATCAAGATGCTCGGTTTCAATGTTTTTTGCAAAGTGTTCCAAGCTAGAGGAGCAGCGCACATAAAAGCTTTAGCACCTAAAACAGTCCTAGCACTTGGCACATGTAATAAGAACACATCCTGGGATCTCAGGCAATAGCTACTTGCCACTCTCTGTGATATCAGTGAGCAGATGTAAGTTGGTAGTTTACCCAGCATGGCTTTATAGATGAACATGTACCAATGACTGAGCCTCCGACCAGTAAGTGAAGGCAGACCTGCCTTGGCATACAGGGTACAGTGATGAGTAAGTGCTTTACAGTTAGTAACAAATCTCAGAGCACTGTGATAGGCGGCATCTAACCTTTCCAGGCATTGGGCAGGTGCATTCATATATATCAAATCACCATAGTCCAGCACAGGTAAAAAGGTCACAGTGACTAGCCTTTTCCTGGCTTCAAAAGAGAAACAGGACTTGTTTCTGAAAAAGAAACCTAGTCTAACCCTCAGCTTTTTAAGCAGATTAATGACCTGAAGTTTAAAAGTAAGACAATCATCAAGCCAGATACCAAGGTATTTGTAACAGGTAACCACTTCGAGTACTTGTCCTTGCATAGTAACAATATCCAAAGCAGTCTCTTGAGTCTTTTTAGCTTTAGAAAAGAGCATTACCTTGGTTTTCTCAACATTTAAAAGAAGCTTAAGCTCAGCGAGCTGAGTCTGAATAATGTTAAAAACAGCCTGTAATTTAACAACCGCCTCCTTAATGGAGGGACCTGCACAGTACATCACGGTATCATCCGCATAAAAATGTAAAGTAGCTTCATCCACATTTTCACCTAAACTATTGATGTAGATGGAGAATAAAAGTGGACCTAAAACAGAACCTTGAGGAACACCATTAGCAATGTTCAACCACTCAGAAGACAGCCCATCAAAGTGAACACATTGGGACCTTTCAGAGAGGTAGTTCACAAACCACCCCACTGCATGGCTGGATAAGCCAATACTGAGTAGCCTCTGCTTTAAGATGCGATGATCGACGGTGTCAAACGCTTTGGAAAGGTCAATAAACAGAGCTGCACAACTCTGCTTTTTATCTAAAATACTCGTAATGTCATTCACCACTTTCATTGTCGCAGTGATGGTGCTATGTTTCTTTCTGAAGCCTGACTGATGTTTAGACAGGATATTATTTTTACATAAAAACTCCTTTACTTGTTCACTCACTAGGCGTTCAAGAACCTTAGCCAGAACTGACAATTTAGAGATGGGCCTATAGTTATTTAAAATAGTTGCCTCCCCTCCACATGAATCTCCTGCCCCGGACACACAAGCACGCGGTTTGATTGGCTAGAGCTTGTACTGGCATATGATTTGATTGGCTGACGCTTCCGCCGAAGCTTCAAAAGTTGAACATTGCTCAACTTTTGAAGCGAGCAACGCGGAGCGATGCAGTTCGAAGCGTCACCCCATTCAAAGTGAATGGGCAGAAGCGTTGAAGCTTCAACGCACGCCGCCGTGTGGACGGGCCGTAAGAGTATATTTTATCTTCTCAAGTTTGAGAAAGAATACCAGGTCCTTAAGCCAAATATTTAACTTTTAAGTTGAGTTTTGTATGGTAAGGTGATGTTTTTGCGCTTCTGCCTTGATCATTTGATCAGAAGCTATCTCTGCAAAATCCTTATAACCTTGTGACTGGCATTTCAGCTTGGTAGCAGGTCATTGTTAATGATAATAGCGGTTTAAATGACTTGGATGGTTGATTTATGATCCTGACTTTATTGCCTCCCCTCTCTCAGGATGATGCGCGGCAGCTGTTTGTGCTGGCGGGCTCCGCAGAGGAAGGCTTCATGACGGGGGAGCTGGCCGGTGTCATTAAGCGCCTGTGGAAGGACGGAGGTGTTCATGCCTGCTTCAGCCGCTCTCGCGAGTATCAGCTCAATGACTCGGCAGCATAGTGAGTCACATAACACACAACATAAAAAACAACCAAGGGGAAAGTTGCATTTTTATTCCCAAAATTATGATTCACTCAAGGAAAAACCTCCAGCACACCAATTCATGTCCACAAACGCCCAAACTAGTGCCATTCCTCTACAAACACAGAAAGCTGCTGCCTTAACACAAGTTGTTATTGCCTCTCTTCATGCTCAGAGAGCAGAAAGCCCCGGCACCATGTATCTGTCTGGACTTTTACACTGTCAATATTTGCCCTCCTCAACGAAGCCTGAAGAGCAGAGGCTGGAAAGCCAATTTATCCAGGACCTTACACCTCAGCACAGGAACATTTGTCACATGCTTAAAAAGAAGTGATCACAACCCTCTGCATCTAAACTGCTCCATTGTTTTCCTTGAACAGCCTGAAAGTTGTATATGTTGTGCAAGAGCCGTTGGCAAAGAGGGAGATGATATCATCATTTTGTGAGGAAAAAAGCAGTTGCCTTGTTGTGCTCTGAAGCAAACATCAGTGTTTATGTAGCAGGCCAAGGGCGCTGCAGTTGTTGCTCTTTTCTATTTGGTTCCTATAATCCTACTGCCCAGGGGCTTTTCATGAATAGGAAACGCCATGTCCTGAACCTTGTGTGTTTTTACTGTTTAATACCTTGAAAAACAAACAAAAGGCTTGTTAGCGTAAAGGGGAGATTACTAGTGTTTGTCGGATAGCAACTAGAGGTCACTAATCTGTCTTCCCATTGTAAGTTTTCAGCAATAACCTTGAGTGCTTAGGTCACAATACACCCAGAGTGTAAGAAAATGTAGTTTAAATCTGAAACTATTTATACTACATACAGAAAAATAAAGTTTGTATAGACAGATGGCTGCTAAAGTACCGCTTTCTGGGAATTAGACCCCACAATTTTGCGAGACTAGATCATTCTGTAAAGTTTCTTGTTGCATTTACACCTAATGTTGAACTATTCTTTCTATGGAAAAAGAATAATCTCTTGCAGTATGCATGAGAAAATCCATATAAAATGTTAAAAAGATGTTCCTTCAGTTGAAATGAACTTAATGCCTTTTTAAAAAACACATCTCAAGGTCAACTTTGCCTTGCATTGACCTGTGGAAAATGTTGTTTCTGGGTTTAATTAAGCGGAGAAAAAGAAACGTGCTAAAGTCATAACAAATGATCAAAATGCCATCCCTTCTCTATACCTGCATATGCCAATTCACAACCATGAAAACACTAGAGGCTATCCCATGGGAGACGGAACAAACATTGACTCTGAATTGTTGGGAGTTTCCCCATCGGCTGCATAACCTTCAACCCAGGACTGAACCCAGAGGGAGTCTACCATACACACAACAATGTGCACTCCACACAGAAAAGACCTCAGTTCAGGTTAACTGACTTATCTGGTTAAAACAGCTAACAAAGAAGTATATTGTTTCAAACTGAAATTATTGGGAGTCATTCATTCAAATGGGAGATAAAGACTTGACCTTGATACACATTTTCTCTTTCTCTTTCTCTCACTCCCTTTTTATGATTATTCTGCTTTCCCTAATGTCCTTCTCTTTGTGTCTGTCTATTAGCTACTTGAACGATTTGGACAGGATATCCCAGGCCACCTACATCCCAACTCAGCAGGATGTCCTGAGGACCCGAGTCAAAACCACAGGCATTGTGGAGACGCACTTCACATTCAAGGACCTTCACTTCAAGTGAGCATTTCTTCTTCTTTGCTTCAAAGTGTTTTTTTTACGTGGTGCCTTGATTAGCTTTCCTTCCTGCCTCTGACTCATTCACTCCCATAGAAATTACCTTTGCTGATGTACAGATGTAAGTTGTGACACAATGTGTGAAGGTGTTCTGCATATATCAGCAGTGACTCAGAGAGGAAGTGGGGGCAGCAGGCCTGATGATATCATGACACTATAAGTCCGTAAGCGGATGCTAGTGACACAGAAATTCATGATGTTGGGACATACAACAGAACAGAAATAGATGTTAAATGATCCATAGAGACATACAAAACACAGCGCTTTTTAAATGTCCCGTCTTACTCAAGGCGCAGCTTAAATACACTCATGATGACACACAATTAGTGTCACAGTTGTATATCACAACAGTTCTTCTGTAAAGTAGCCATTGCTCTTTGTAATGTACGGATAAAACAGCAGGGGCTACACGTTAAAAGCAAAGTACTCCTTTTTTTAATGGTTCAGTTTGTATTTGAAGATAAACACAATTAAAGAGGTCTGACCTTATGTCGGTCTTTCTTGTGAGGTAACTGTGATTACTTCTTTTATTTGCACACCCTATTATACATTCACCATTCCCTCCCCCAGTGCTGCCTTTAAACCGTAGTATTTCCAGATGTGGCTTCTGCAGTGTAGTAGCAGCTCTCACAAGAGCTAAATGGGGCGTTTTGTTTTGCCACAATTCCATGTATAATTATGCAATTGTTTCACACGTTACCGTTTAAAATCAGATTTGAAAATTGCTCTTTATAATTGGATTTGCTATTGTAGAAATTGTTCCCGAAAGTGAGAAAGGCATAAATATTCATACATGAAGTGTGTGTCATAAGGCTCATTCAGCTTTGGTGTGGATTAAGTAAGAATAGACCTACATAAAGCGAGCAGTAAAAATCCCCCTCATTTATAGCTCTTTACAAGCAAATAGAAAACACAAGATGCTGTTCTGTCAGTATACCCATTTAATGGCCACTTGAGTATTGCTAGATTTTTATCAGAATAGTTTTGAAGGAACAAAAGACAAAGCATTTGTGTTTCCTCTCCCCTCTATCACTTACTGTCATCACCAAACACTGCAGCGAGAGCGGAGCAGCCACAGCGGCGCTGCCGTGGATTCTTTCTGCCTCTGGGTTTATACTGTAAACACTGCTGTATTGTCTATGTATGTCTGTATGCTGAGGCACATGTGTAAATGTTTATTTCTCGCCCCGACCAGAATGTTTGATGTTGGAGGTCAGAGGTCTGAGAGGAAGAAGTGGATCCATTGCTTTGAGGGAGTGACCGCCATCATCTTCTGCGTGGCCCTCAGTGACTACGACCTGGTGCTGGCCGAGGACGAGGAGATGGTGAGTGCTCCAGCCTCTGACTCACGGAAATAACATCAAAGCAGGCACTCACTGTTTGTACACACCAGGGAATCTTTCCTCTTGTTCACTGGAATAGCAAAGTGGAAATAAATGATAAGGCTTTTCCCTTTCTTATGGATCAGTAGGCAATCATTTTTTTCTGTTCCTCCTTAGAACCGAATGCATGAGAGTATGAAGCTGTTCGACAGCATCTGCAACAACAAGTGGTTCACAGACACCTCCATCATCCTCTTCCTCAACAAGAAGGACCTGTTCGAGGAGAAGATCAAGAAGAGTCCTCTAACCATCTGCTACCCAGAATATGCTGGTAAGGCTGGCTGCATTTGACAAATAATTGTTTTGAAATGGCCCATTCTTTTTTTTATTTGATATTTTTTAACACAAAAATGCCATTTAGAACCTGCCAATGACAAATGCGCTTATGGAGTTGATTTTGAATCTTGATTAAAACACTGACAATTTGAGCAGATTTGTTCCACATAGAAAACAAAGATTGTTAGTTTAAATGAACACTACCAGACCAGAGATGGGTGTGTTTCAGTGTCAGATTAGATGATACAAGTGATGTGAATGTGCCTGACAGGAAGCTTAGAGAGGAAGATGCCAGAAATTAGGAGCTTAACATTGAAATGTCATTCTGTTATCTACTACGAGTGAATTAATAAAACAATTAGGATATTTAAATCGTTACCATTCTCGCATAGGGCAACACCGAGCAGCAGATTAGCTTAATTTAACTTAATTTAACTAGCTCTGTCCAAAGTGAATAAATCCTGCCCCCCAGCACCTCTAAAACTCAATAATGATCACAATAATAATCACATATTCTGACCTTTCCTTTAAACCTTAAAAAAAGTGTAGTTGTGGTTTTTGGGGGTATTCATGGGCTATTATTAGCTGGGAGCAGTGACTGCAAAATGTTAACACATTTGTTTTTGTAATTTAAAACAAGCAACATGTTAAAGAATGAGCATTCAACTTTAATATGTAATTATATAATGAAAAATAATAGCCGTTATTCCCAGTTAGCAGGATGAAGCCCAGCCATGTCAGTCAGTCTTAACAATGAACAATATACATACAACTTCTATACCTTGTCCTATGCATTGACTTCCTGCCTCTTCACTTCCCGCTCCAGGCTCCAACACGTACGAGGAAGCAGCTGCCTACATTCAGTGTCAGTTTGAGGACCTGAACAAGAGGAAGGACACCAAGGAGATTTACACCCACTTCACCTGCGCCACGGACACCAAGAATGTGCAGTTTGTCTTTGACGCCGTCACCGACGTCATCATCAAGAACAACCTGAAAGACTGTGGTCTCTTCTGAGGATGGAGAAGATAACCTTTTTCTTTTTGGTAAGGGACTCTTCGTCAGCGGGTGTATGCACATATCTGCATCACATGTCAGCATTATGAATGAGAGTTTCTTCACTTTATAAGTAGAGTGCAGCACTCAGGGAACTTTGGGAGCATGCGTTCTGGATATCTTCTTTCAAAATGTGTTGAACAAATCCATTCAGAATTATGGAGGAGCATAGCTGGAGTTGACCACAATGATGTAGCGTAATCCATCATAATCAAATGCATAGTTACATTTTGAAATCTGTCCCTTCCTTTATGTACGGCTAAAATACATTTTCCGCTCCATTTAGATGTTTGTTAATGATAGTGAGGCGAGGTCGACCTCTCCAAAAGTTCTCTTTTTGAAAAGGCTCAAGGCCATCCCTCCTCCGTCTCGTCCTTCATGGTTCTTTCTCTCTCCTCTTCTCTCCTCAGGCGGTGGAGCCAGTTTATTGTGCATCTTTGGTGGGGAAGATGAGAAGAGTCGGGAGGATCAGTCACGGACCAGTGCTGTACTATATGCCACTTTTAACAGCTTTATTTATGTTTTTTGTCTTGGAACATTTTTGAACTAGCGTTACGACATTTGTGTAGGATGTTTGTATCTATGTAAAAGCGTCACAGCAAAAGTTTCCCGCACACTAAAAAAAACAGTTACTTTGTATTTAGTTTTTAGTTTTGGAGGAGATCACTTTTATGCTGTTACTTCTGCCGCTGTCTCTGGAAAAGGAAACTTTGCTGTTGGTGGAAATGCTTCTTTTCTTCCTTCCCTACAACCAAAAGGGAAGAAAAGGCGCACAACTTTGAGTCCAGTTTGTTGGTACTTGTGCCTTCGCATGCATTTTTACCGCGGCCGTAGTCCCAATGCTTGTTCTGTTGCCTGCTGAATTGTTCTAAACATAAAGAGGTTAACTGTTTTCATATGTTAGTGTCCCTGCTATCTTCTATGTGCACACCATTGAGCTATCGGGATGCGGAAGGTTTCCCTCTGGTCTAAAGCTACATAGGTCTCCATGGTGATCAATATGTAGCCTCCACAGTCCCCTACCCCCATCCCCCCACCAGCCATGACAATGAAAGGCCTCGCTGGCCAATCACGCAGTACAATACTGAGATGTAAATTGTTACATTTGCCCCGCAGATTCCGGGGTTCTGGTTTTTAAACTGTACAAAATATCCATTCTTCCCAACCATTCGGATAATGGTGAGTCAAGGCATTGAGCTTATAATACGCTCAAGTCAAAGACAAGGGTAGGCACATTTTAATGTATTATGAGGAGAGTTTTGGTGTTAAGGAGAGAAAAACTGAACCACTGAAAAGATGGTTGTAAAGGCGAGGATGAGGTCTGAAATGTTTTAAGGTTCAGACGCCGTTCTTCGGTGGTGATTTGAGAGTAGAGGCGCTACTCGAGGATTCATTCAGGTGATGGAAACTAAGATGGTCAAGGAAAAACTGGTCTGTGATTTGAGGTCAGAACTACTTTGCCAAGAAGAGTAATAAATATAGTCCTGGATTTGTTCATATAAAGAAACTGCCACAACTGTTAATGTATGTGTATGTTCTCCACGGATGGAGAATCTTTGTAGACTCATCTCCCTTATTTTGCTAATAAAAAAACATTTACAAACCACGTGGAGTTGCTCAATCATTAAACATATGTATCTTCTACAGTTAATTAACTATGTTTACACTAATGGTGGATTAATTATTGCACTACTATAATTAGCTGCTTAAGCACAAAGCATGATGAATGTATTTAATTATGCTACCCTTTCCAGTATCTTGCATCTTCCCGTTAAATGTCATGCAGCTATCACATGGCCTCCTAAAGCAGAATGAGCTCAAACCCTAATTTAATGTGTGTTAATGACCTGAAAGGTTTTCTTTTTTCTTTTTTTAAATATGCTAAAAGATCAAATGTTTCATTTTCATCATGAATCTCAAATACAAATTCTACTTAATTAGATGATGCTTTTATCAGTGATGGGTCATGCTTTGATGTTCGTGTAGGCTGGCTGGGATGCACTTCACATCTTCATAAATGGCTTGCCACACTGTTGTACTGTGCATGCATTTCGTATGAAGCGAGATATCTTGTTCCAAACACATTGTCCCACAGAGGCACATTTTCTATCAGTTTTGCACACAACCTCCATTACAGTATATTTGTATTCCTGCGTGGCCTTTAAGGCTGTGTTACCTGCAGTAGTACTCAATGTGAAGCTTTGTTAGGATGAAAATTGTCCGCACCCAAAGGTTAACTTGCACGGGCTGATAGAGAAACCGCATTATCTAATTTTCCTATGTGCCTATGACAGTGATGCCTATTATTCAAAAGGCAATTTCGAACAATACCTGTTCAGTGAAAGCATATATCACCAGTTATAGAGGACCGCTGGCATCACCTTAAAAATATCCCTCGATATCTGATCTTAGATGACAGTCATCTGTTGATTCGCATGTGTGCTGACCACAGGTGGGAGGAGTACTCAGATCTTGTACTAAAGTAGAAGTACCAGAGTGTAGGAATACTCTGTTACAAGTAAAAAAAACCTGCATTCAAAATGTAAAAAAGTATGGCATCAAAACATTAAAGTACCAAAAGTAAAAGTACTCCTTTACAGGTCGGCCCATTTCAAAATTATATATATAATGTTTTAATTATAGTTATTGATGCAATAATGTGTTGATCACACTTGGTAAAGGTGGAGGCATTTTTCATTACTTTGTATAGGCTACTGCAGGGTAGCTTGTGAATGTTACTCCAGCTTGGACTAAAGTTATATGTAGCCTAAGTGGTGATTACATCCAAATCTGAAAAGTAACTCAAGGTATAAAATAAATGTAGTTGAGTAAAAGTACACGATTTAACTCTGAATTGTAGTGGAGTAGAAGCACAACATAGTAAAACATAGACATTTCTTAAGTAAAGTACAATTCTCTCAAAACTGTACTTAAGAACAATACTTGAGTTAATGTACTTAGTTACTTAACATCATTGCCCAGACTGTTAAAGGCTAAAAAAAAAAAAAAGGTTGGAAGATGCTAAAAACGGCAAGGCCTTCGACCCCGGCCCATTGGACATTGTCTTTTGATTGTTGTATGAAGGCTATAACGTTTTTCCAGAAAGAAAAAAAAATAGCAGAGAAATGATACCCTAAGTTAACTGTTAGACTTTAGCCACACATTAAGGTAACGCCGAAACAAAAATATATTGGGTTAGCTAGCCTACATTTCTCAACACCGTGAGGCATATAAAGTTAAAATGTAGCCATTACTGACCCTACTCATTATCACGGTGAAGTAGACGGATGTGGATGCTAATTTAGCACCTTGCTAGTAGCTACTTTTCAACGGCTATGAAGCTAATTTAACCTAAATATATAGTTACGGTAACGCCTGCATATGTGGGTAGCGACAAAGAGTACACTTTCTTTATGTTATGTATCCAGAGCGGACTCAAAACATGAACTAATTTCAGTGCCAACATCACAGGTAAGCTAGCTAATTTATGGTATACCTACTCTTTGTGTATTCTTAGCTCGCTGTGCTACTCTGTTATTTTTTCAAACTTTATTTTCCTTTTTCTTCAACAACATAGCAACTTTGTAATACAATCACTGCCAAAGACAAAATACAGGAGTGTGCATGTTGTCCATTTATTACACCCCCGTACAGAACAAGACAACAGTAGGCTAATAGTACAAACACATTCAAAAATAATAAACAAACACAGAGTTAACATTTCTCATGAAAAACAGCAACAAAAAAGATAAATAACATAATATATATAAATTTGTATTAACAGTTCAGATATTGTCATTATTGACAAACAATAAACCGTATCAAATATTTGTAAACATAAATCAGCCAATTAATCATAAACAACATGCAAATATAGTCACGTACAGAGGTCCAGGTACATGTAAGTTATGATTGTCTATAGCAATTCTAATTATAATTCAGTAAAAAAAAAATATATATTCAGTTAGCCCCTGAAACTGTGTTACCTTCGAAGATCGGTAACACAGTTTCAGTGTTTTCATGTAGGCCTATGTTGAAAATGGTTGCCATCATGTCTTTATAACATTAACGGTTAACCCAAGGTACACTTTATTTTTTACATGAGTAAAAAACCTGTTATTCCTTATTGACCCAACTTTTATTGTTAAGAGGAACAAATGTGTAATTCCTTCACTCAGAAGCGGCCTACTTTAAATTACAATTACAGTTTCAGAAGTCATTGTTCTAGAAAGGGAAAGAAAATCCAGCTTCAAATACTCCCTTTGCTTCTCTTTGCCTTGAGGGATTCCCTTCTCAGTGGCACATTTTTAGCTATTTGTGTACAACAAATACTTTGCATGTGTGGGTTGTTTGCACACACATACAGATGCTGATTTGCATGTTGACACACTCCTCTGCAGCCGCGTTAACCCTGGCCTCCCCAGGTTTTTAGCTTCTAGTACAACTTGACAGAAAAGTGAAAGGAATCTGAAGGAGATAAATGAGAGAGTGTTAGTCTGGGTGTGTGTGATGCTAGAGGAGGCTCCCAGGTGTGCTGCCAACTGGAGGAGTTGAAGTTTGTTTACATGGGTCAGGTGGGGGGCCATATGTTGTATTAATAGCACCTTTAAAGATGAGAGGAAGAAGACAGCTTAAACAAGGGGGCGGCCATGATTTACAGTGTAAAAGCAACCCGGGTGACACTGCAAAAACAGAGGGTGGGAATATCTGAAGTGTGTGTGCGAGGAGGAGGGTGTCAAGAGTTGGAACAAGAGAGGCATTATTTCAGTGTTGTTTCATCGTTGTGTTTACTGTCTGCTCTCCCCTCACTAACTTTCCTTGAGGGCAGCAATTGGTAACAGAGATAAGACAGTCTTATCAGCAGCCATGTCGGACAGGACGCATTGTAACACCAGACTAGACACACTTTCCGTCTGTACTGCACAGTCTTCACACTGAATCTCTCAGTACAGTCATGTGTCTGCAGACTGGGTTCGGGATGCATGTCGATCATTTGTTCTTGGCTCTTTTGTCACATAACTAAACTCTAATATTCTGCCTTTTTAGCAATGCACTTTTAAGTGGCTTCTCACTAATCTGATATATTTAAAGGGGACAATTAAATTAACACATTATCTCACATAAACACCTATACTTAAAGGGCCCATGTCATGGCCATTTCCACTGATCATAATTCCATTGTTGAGGTATACTAGAATAGATTTATACTGTGCAATTTTCCAAACTCACATTGGTTTCTCATACAGCATCTCTGTAAACTATGTGTATTCACTGAATTTCACTCTCTGCCTTTAACGGCTCGTTGTAGCTCCAATAGCTCCAGCCCCCACCCTCCCTGTGAGCACAGTGTGCTCTGATTGGTCGGGACGTTGTGAATCGCGCTGAGCTCCATGGAGGTGTTGTTTCCTTGTTAGCGATGTACAGCCAAACACAGCCAAACTCATCCTGAGCACACACAAATTCACATCCGAAGTAAAAACAATAAGTGTGGCTTGATATTGAGTAAGACAAAGGTTGATAAACGCTGTGAGAATGGGTCTGCAGAGAGAATTTCGCCGTGATCCCAACTGTCTGTTATCAGCCTGCAGCCAGGGAGGAGAAATCAGCTGAGCTGCCTGCTCCCTGCACACAGATGTGTGTGTGAGGAAGTCCGTGGATTGGTCAATTTGGACCAATCAGCGGGGGCTTAACGTAACGGCTCCGCGGACGTAACGTAACGGCTCCACAGATTGGTCCATTTCGCTCCGGGTACGGCTTGACATCATGCCGTACCCGGAACGAAATGGAAGAATCAAATGGACAGTGACGTATCTCCAACGTGGCGTTTTGGGGAGGTATTTTCTGTGTTAGAGTTTTACTCGCTACAGGGTGTACTTTGAGGGTTTGTGACTCTGCACACTGTTTACATGCATAAAACCCCTCATAACACACAAGGGGACGGGTAATAACCGGAAAAGCATGACATGGGCCCTTTAAATAGGTCTATTGATATTATATCAGTTTTGTGATATGAGACTTAATTTTGTCTAAAAAAAATTATATTGCATTATTGTAGGCATGGTCTTTTCCTGGTTTGAAAGGCTGAATTACACTAAATTGAGTCTTTTAGCTGTTCTATTATTTCCATTAAGCTGTTTTATTTATTTAATCCACATAATTTATGATTATCAATTAAACATTTTTTGTAAAAGCATCATTTTCAACTCTACAATATCGACATTGAGAGATTTGATCAAAAATAGAGAGATACAATATTTTCCTTATATCTTAAATGTTTGTTTAAAGGTGGGGTAGGTAAGTTTGAGAAACCGGCTTGAGATACTTTTTGTTATATTCCATGGAATGCTCTTAACATCCCGATAGCAATGAATATTTTAAGTGCTTTGACAAAAAATCCATTAAAAAATGTCATCTGTGGAAGCCGTAGTACTGTAAAAAGCACGACCAATCATTTTAGCCGGCCCGGCCCCAGCTTTCCATCTGTGCACAAACTTATCTCGTGCCCTCATTGGTCATGTGCACGTTCGTGTGTGTTGGAGGAGGGGCTCTGTAAGGAAGTGGCAGATTTGTTCCGGCTGTGTATTTTCAAATTCTAGCGCACTCGAG